GCCTCCATAGTTTCAGATTTTTTTCAAGGAAGGAGCCAAACAATCTTTTCAGGCCAAATCCCCTGGCAATTCTACCAATAATCCTGGCATCCCTATCTCCAGATATTGTAATGCTTGTAAAGTTGAAGACAAATGTCTCCATTAGGATTTACAAACTTTTATTAGTAAGTATTTCTTGATTTGTGGGACATGATTGGCTTTATGATGACTATTCATTCTAGCACAAAAGCAACCACAGCTGATGGACAAAGTAATGAATGTTTTCCAATAAAACTTTATAGGTACATTGATAAATTTATCAAGTGTATTTGCTTTTAAAAACCCCTAGAACTACATGTATAGCTATTTTCTCATAATTACATGAGAAAGGGTACAGATTTTTTTTTTCTGAAGTACTAGAAAAAAAAGATACTTCATTAACTGTGTAAAACCTGCAGGCCAAATTTTGCCCTCAGGCCATTGTTTGCTAACTCCTGGCCTACACACTTGGCACCAAGAAGGAATATTTAAGGCATAGCAAAGAAAACCCCAACAAACAAGGCATATTTCTGAATGAAAACTTTTGTCAAATAGACGTCCCCTATATTATGATGTAAATCATAGTTTCAAATCATATGATGTATTTAGTTGATTTATATCCTTGGTTTTAAATGGTATACAGTAATCTTCATCAGACAAAGAAAGTAGCACCTTTTGCTTGTAGTCGTTTAGGACCTTTGGAGATAGTCCTTATGAACTGGCTGACACATTTTCTTTAAAGCTTGAAATTTTGGCAGTGAATGGATTCACTTACTGGAGTTCAGATTTCTCGAACGACAATCCACAATAATAGGCTAAGAATCTTTACATAGAATTCAATCCAGGTTTGGACATTTGAGGAAATCTGGAGAGAGATACAATACAGCCATCGGCAGCTAATAGCTGGTCATATGGAAAGCTCTTGGTAACTTAGATCTGACTCACCAATGCATTATAGCTCTAGTTGTGTTTGCACCACTTTTGCAAACTTTTAGCACAGAACCTTTCCAAATCTTTTTTAAGCAGAACACTTACAAGTAGCAGCGCTCAGATTTTTTTTTTAAAGTGCCCTATACCGGCAGAGTAAAATCTGACATTGTCAAGGGAAGTGCCAGGAACCAAGATTTCTCCATACAGGCAGTATTATCGGGGGGGGGGGGGCGGGCTAAACTGAAATCACATTTCTAATGGAAATGGTGACTTCACAAGTGCTTAAGACTGGGTTCTCCCGTGAAGCAAAACCAAACCAGTGAAGCTGCGTATCTTGTTGCTATAAACCAGTCAGATCCAACTCACAGTTAATCCTCCCACTGGTTTTCAGAGGCAGTAAACGGCATGGTAGGAGACTGCTCATCTAAGTAACTGGTGAGTTTGAATACATGCCTTGGGTTGGCAGTGTTTCCTTATATAAAAAGGGGGGAAAATTTATCACAAGGAAATGACTCAACATACTTGTAGAGACTGGCAAAGTGCTAGTTTGTGGGTCAGACCACAGGAGGTGCTTCTCCTGACTTTAACTAGCTTCAGAAATCGGCAAATCCAAGATTTGCAGGCAATATGGCAGGCTGCTGGCTCGAACTGGAGGTGATGAGCCAGAGGTTAAGATTCAGAATGGGCAAAAAGCTAGCTCTGCCTTATCTATATATAGATAATACAGGTTATTTCCAGAGGATTCCAGGTTTGTAAACATTCTATTTGCTTACCATCCTAATCCTTTTATAGAAGATCAAGGCTGCTCCTAACATACCATGGAGAATAACTGCCTGATAATGTAACTCTCATTATGACCTCTTATTACAGAATATTCTTTGCCAAAACCACCATCCAAAGCATGGATTATCTCCTGACAAGTCAGTTTGACTGGGTTGAGACTTCTCAGTGGTTCTGACAGTTATGTCATGTTTGCTTTATCTGTTCAGTCAATTGCTTTAAAAGAATTAAGGTATGATACACCACTTTTACCAAAGCCACACCTCTAACCATCTGCCAGAAGTATAGCCTGTATCACTTTTATCTTAAATCAGAGAACACATTACCATAAAGTTTAAGGTAGCAGGATAAATCATTTGAAACTAAGCAGAGAACATCCTCCTGTGATGTGTATCTCTGGAGCCATAGAAGAGACATGAACAACTTGCCCTAGTAAGCCACCTCACCAGTTCCAATATATTTGACCCCATTGCTGAAGCGTAGCACTCAATCTCAAATTTCCTCTCTTGTATTGATCCTCGTCATTCCAAGCACAATGTCCTTTCTCCAAGGCCTGGCCCCTCTATGACACATCCAAAGCACCTGAGGAAGTTTCACCTCACTTGCCACCATTCTTGATTCTCAACCTTCCCAATATTAGCCATAGTTTGTTGTGACACACAGATAAATGCCAACATAGTCTATAAACACAAGTAGACATCCTAGTTATCTCTGCTTTCAATCTGGAGGTCAGCTACCTGGCCACTAAATGAAAAAAAAAATCCTTTACTCCCATTTCCAAAGGTGAGAATTGATCCCTCTGAGTTGTGCCATTTGGAGGAACGAGAGTTATCTCACGGACTTCAAAAAGGACAAACAAGTAAATCTTGGAAAAGGTGCAGCCAGGATGCTCCTTGGCAGCAAGGACATCATGCTTACTGTCAGTGAAGAAAGGCTAATATGCTCAATGAGATGGATTCACACAGTGACACGCCAGACTCAATTGTGTCAGAGAACAGCACAAAGACAGGGCAGGCTTCAAATCCATTGTTCATATGTTCCCTATGAGTCGTCGTAGATTCGATGGCATCTAACACAATGTGGCAATTTTAAAACAGTACCATTAATACACACACTGGCAAAATCTTGCTGAAGATTATCCAAAAATGGCCAGAACAATTGAAAAGTGCCTGAAACAGCATTACGGATGTCAAAGAATATTCTAGACGGAAGTAAAGACTGATATAAAGACAGCATGGTGATCGCAAAACATCTGGGTCCACAAAGGCATTCCTGGTTCCAACTCCAAGAAACTCAACTTTAAGAGCTCAAAATACAAACCATTGGGTTTCCAAGGTTATAAATGAGAGGAAACTGCTCCTCTTCCTGCTCTGGAGCTGCTAGTTGAACACAAATCACCAAGAGCTGCACAGCCTTTGGGTAACTACCAACTTGTTTTACAGCTCTCAAATCTTCTCAGCTTCTCAGAAAAATGTTTTCAGACTTAAAGTAGGTTATAATCCAAACAAGAGGAATTACAATACCACTCTACCATTCATTTTGTCAAACAATCTCAAAATTATTTCATTCCAGGCTCCGGAGCTTTTCTTTCTCCTCAGGAAATTGCACAGACAAAATGACAGTGTAGTGCCCTACCTCACTAGATACTTAGCCTAGTTCAAAACCTAATTAATGCAAAACTGTCACTGTGAGGCCAAGGATATTCATTACTTATCTAGTATTCAAGTGTCAAATCAGCTAATTAGTGCCTAACTAAAAAAACCTAGCATTTTCAGCAGCACTTAGGTCGTTCAGAACCCCTTTCAGTTCTAAACACATAGAAAGAATGTACTGCACCAAAATCTTTTATCCTGTTTATAAACAAAAGTCTACCAAGATATTGATCTAGATAGCCAGAATTAATTTTTCCCACTAGGGTTAATTAAACCGGTTATTTCTTAACATCTTTCTGCAATTCCTCCATACGTTTCCATACTACTAATTTCTTGGTGCTTCCAGATGGCCAGTCCCCAAATTACAGAATTTATAATCCCTGTTTCTTCATTCAAAATTCCCACCTCCAAAAACTGAGTATCAGGGTTTTTTTCCAATCTCTAAAATTTATTTGAGTAAACTTATCTTTATATATACAGAACAAGTAAAGCTAACCATGTGTAACAAAAAAATCTGCCAATTATACACATAGCTTTATACCACCCATATAAAGTTCAGCCAGTTTTAAGTCAAAATTCTAAAAACACAGCATCCAAATTATTTCCAATATACTAGGTTAAACACTAAAACCACCAAATAAACTTGAAGCAGACCAGCATTCCCAAACTGCAATGCTCTTCAGTAATTTTGTTTAAAATAACAAAATGGCTATGGGTATACTTGTCCCACCAGCACTAAGTATTCAATATCTGCTATTTGCAACAGGGCTAGAAAATACCTTGAACTTTCAACAAGAAAATGTTCTTAAGTAATTGTTACTACCTTACTAATAAAAATTATATTAAAAGTCTGAATAAACAATCTACTGGCTATAGCATTCTAAAGTCTATCAGACACTATAAAAACAAAAAACCTTAGCTACATGAGGTGTTGTTAAATATAGATGTGCTTTTACAAAACTGCTTAAGTCTCACATTAACATGTGTGATTGACATCTTTAATCACTGCACCAGCCTGGCAAAATAAGATAAATTATGTTAGTTGGCAGTGGTGAGCAAAGAGCTTGGAATTAATAGATTTTCTACATAGGCAATAAGATCATCAATCCATTTGAAGGAACAGGAGTACCTAGGTTGGTTAATTTTGCAAAGCTGGTTTACATTAAGATGTTCTGTCCCAAATTCAGACAATTCCTCAAACATGCATTTCTTTCCCCCAAAGGGGATAATTAATATCGTTCAGTAATTTTGAAAGCAAGTAACGAAAAGCACACTGAGCTTACCCAACATGGTGTATTCTAATTTGACACCATCCCACCCTGTAGCTTTCAGAAGTCAAATTCTTTCTCCAGCATCTACTCCCACTACTTACAGAATTTACTTCAGTAAATTCTCTCCCCTAGTTCCTAACACACTCAGTTATTATCAGTGCACCTTCTATCTTGACAGATTAAGATTAGTAATATTCAAGAACACCAAGTACAAGTTTATTAACTTTAACCTGGGGACTTGTCACAATGTACTCATGCTATCATGGGGATCTCAAAAAATCGTATCATTTTAGCTACAGTTTTAAGGGCATATAAATTTCAAAATCCCTTAAGACCCTGGCCAACAAATATACACAGAACAGTTAAATGATGTTTAGGACTTAAACACCATCAAACTTTGCATGAATATAGTTAATTATCACATTTGACTCCTAACATTCACCAAATTGAAGTTATTCAACACAAATCAATGTTCTAGGTTGAAACATTTTATTTAAATGTGTCAAAAACCCATTTTCAGATCATAGGATGTTAATACATTCACCAAAAATGCGTATTCTTACTGTTGTGATTTACAGAGTAATTATCCAGATCCATTTTGATTAGATGGTTGAAAAACCTTTTCCTAGGTTATACTTAACAGATATCACAAATCCCTTATAATAATGTAAACAAAATAACTTTTTTCCCTAAAAGGTGAACTTGAGAACTTCAGTCCATTCTCTCAGGGCTTGCACTTCGCCGAGGACTTCCTGATGGGGAACGACTAGAAAGAAAAACATTTTGTTTAGAACCCTTAAGTATCCGTTGATATTTACCATATATATCTCACCACATTTAATGTTTAATTTAAAGTGGCCAAAAGTTAATTTCTGCAAATCTAAATTACATTAAATATTTACATAAATGTTCTTTACTTGCTTAACAGAAGCCTCTTTGCCAAAATTGCAAAGTTTAAATTGAAACGTCAGAATCTTTACTTTTTCTACTAAGTAGAACTAGCGAGATCATGAAATTCTACAATTTAAACATAATGGTCAACCTGTCACTGTAGCTTAACCACTTAACATTTCAAGATTAATTATTCCAATGATAATTGTTTTGAAGCAGCAAATTTAATAAGCTTCTTATCCCATATTTTTATCTATATAGCACCAATTCCCCAAAGAGCTCAAAGACTTAATAGGCATTAAGTAAACAAAATCTGTAGAGGCCACATTTTTCAATGAAATTTGGCAACTTTTTTTTTTTACACTTACCTTCTTTTTGGAGATGGTGATCTGGACTTTGACCGGCTGTCAAAACACGAGAAATTCTATTAAGCCAAGGTACTACTATACCTTTCATATTGTCAGAATACCATGAAATGAATCCCCAAACTGTCTTAAATTTAAATTAAAATGGAGGAAATGACCGTCTACCTGGTCAATGCTAAATACTAATCCTCCAACAATTGTTCATAAACTGCTACCATTTCCTTTACCAGGATTAACCTTTAACTTGGCTCTGAGAAATTATCTCAGGCTGTATCTTCAAGCAATATTTTGGTATGTATGTATGTGTGTGTGTATGTGTGTGTATGTATGTATATATATATATATATATATATATATATATATATACACACACACACACCCCCTCTCTCTATATGTATTTATGGTATACCTGAGTGAAAAGGAATTTCACAGACAATCCTTTTTTTGGAGTACACCTTACTTTTAGTATGCATTATATATGCCATGTGTTTTATCAGCTGTTGTCATTTGCAGATTTTCAAAGATCAGATCTGATAAAGACAATGATGAAAACGAAAGTATTTGACTTCTTTGACAACTAGCTTCTAACAGGGTGGTCAGAACAAAGCCCCATTTCAAATATAGGAATACATAACCTTAAGTAGCTAACTTCTCAAAATGCTTGGTATTTTATTATCCATCAAGTTAGTCTGTATGTAAGAAATTTTAACATTTGACTTGGAAGAGACTGAATTTCCACTTTGCACTTAGGCTTTACTTTAATCTCATACTTAAGTCAAAGCACTTTGAACTCTTTGGATATTGGTGCCATATAACTAGAAAAACAGTAACCATTTTTTTGTCCTACCTGCTTCTTGGTCGTGAAAGAGACCTGGATCTTGATCTTGACCGTGACCGAGATCTTAAAAAAAAAAAAAAAAAGAAAGAAAATGACTACTAAACATCTTACAGGACTAGAAATAGAGGTTACTACAGAATAAGACCCACCTCTTACATCATTAACAGTTTAAGATAGTACTAGATAATACTTTCAACAATTATTTCTTACTCTGCTTAATGAACTGGATTAAGGGTAACAATTCCTGCAGAGAAGAGCATCACGGGGTCTCAAAATAATGAGTCTCAGGTACCATGTCCAAAGGAAATACAATAGCACCAATTTATCAAACATTTCAGCCAATTTTTGGTTTTCACTCAAGTAGGCTACTACATGAATTAACACGTTGCAGCAAATGACGGCATATGTGTTTCTAAGCACGGTCGTCAATTTAAAAAGTGTGTGGCAACGTGTTAATTTTAACCACTAATTACAATCAGGATCATAGAAAATGAGACTTTAACCACATGTGCTCTGGACATTTAACGAAAAGAAACCATTTTTTGCAGAAGAGATAAGTGGCTTGGTAAAATGCCGGTGTCAAAATGGAAAACCCTCAAAGAGATGAACTGACACAGAGGATAGAACAATAGGCTCAAACACAGCTAATTCTGAAGCTGGCACAAGACTGGGCAGTGTTTAATTTTGTTGTACAGGAGGGCCTTGTGTGCACCTATTATTAAGTATTCAATCAGTGCCAGAGATGAGTAACTCTTGAACTCAAGATTTGGGCAATAATGCCCTGTGAGAAGTCACTACTAGATACAAGTTTCATTCCTGGTTTCAGTAAATGATATCCACAGGAAATACAAATGGGTTAACATGCTTTGACTGAGAAGTGAAAGACTGCATGTTCTAGTCTACCTGGCATCCTACTTCAGAACAAACCCAGCAGAGTACAGTAGTACTGATAGACAGAGTCTAAGTTAACTGCACAACCAGGCCTATATCTCACTTCCAACTCATCAAGTGTTTTGGTTTCTTTTTTTTTTAAATTTTATGCATTTGCTATTACCTTTTAAGGTACTCCAAGTGAAGAACAAGAAACTAGGCTTTTTATTTCCTAATAAATTCCTGATCCACCTATGTAAATGTTCACAGAATTGATCTGTACTTTGGTCCTACTCCAATATGACTTAACATGCCACCTTAAAATATTTAGTTCTGCTTTTTTAAAACATGCACATTACAGCTATAAATGCAACTTTTGCTTTTCAAGTATCTTTCCTGGGTCACTCATTTGAATTATGTTGTAAAGACATTCCCACTGCTACTATTAATGTATGATTAACTCAAAAGAGGGAGAAACATGTTACATACTGGAAATACCTCGATCCTTTTATGGAACCAGACCTAGATCTTCTGAGTGAAGCTGATCTTGATCTACGAAGAGACACCGATCTTGATCTTCGAGGAGATGCAGACCGAGACCTAAAAATAAATCCTAGTTGTTTTACTCCATCTCCAAATAAAGCTTACTTTTAAGTTCTCTTTTAAAGCTCATTTTACTTACCTGTGTCCTCTGCTCCTACTGCGTGAGCGAGAGTATCGCCTTCCCCTGGACCTTGAATGTGATCTAGACCTTGACCTATTTTTCAAGTCAGAAAACACATGTTAGAAAAGAACATTTATAGAATTCATATGCCTTTGCTGAAATCAAATCTCAAAACTATTTAAATTTAGTGTCTCATTTGGAGGAGGAAAAAAAAAACAAACAAAAAACAAAAAAATGGGCCTATTAATTGCTTTTCTTAAAAAAATAAAAAAATAAAATCAAACAAAAACAAAAAACAAAAACAAACTAACTACCTAAAAAAAGGTTTGTTAAAAGCTGAATTACATCTTAGAATTACATAATACAAATCACTGTAATGTGTATTTAAAATAAACCTTGCAAGTTTGCAGGTCGACCCTCTTTGGCCCATGGTCTAGCAGATCTAGACGATCTAGAAGTATCTATAGCCGATCGCTGCATCTAGATGTTTTCTTCAATCTAACGACGATCAAACTGACAGCCAAATGAGCCAGGTGAGGCTTGATTGACGCAAGAAGATTTTTCTAGTTGGGAAATGTGGTCAATCTGGTGTTCCTCTTTCTAAACCGGAGGGGGCCCCAATTGTAAGCCAAATTTACTGTTACGGCGATCACCGTCTCAAATTTTCTGCCCTTTAAATAAGGTGAAGCTAGGTGTAGATGACTCGAGGGGATCTGGCCTCTTATGCTGATCACCTCAAGGTCTAGGAGGATCTTAATTGTCGGATTTGCAAGGCGCCTCAGCATATCATAAGGCTCGTGACATTCTGAATCAAGGCGACTGACTCAAACGAAGAAACCTGAAAGGTTTTGACCAGGTTGATTATTAATATATTAACATTTGCTTAATTAAACAAAAATTGTAAAATACACCTGTACAATTAACATTCAAGTTTACAGATTAAAAATACTTTCTCCTTTGCTAACAAAAAAATTACTGGATTAACTAATATACCAACCATTCTTTTATCAAAGTAAATACCTGCTTCTTCTTCGTCGACTATAGCGATGACAATCATAAGCATAATGTCCCTTTTCTCCACACTCATAGCATCTATCATTAGGATCAAAGGGACGTCGGGCAGGAGGTCTATCAAACCGAGACCGTCGAGGCATGCCTGTTGATAGCTCAACTCTCACACGGGAACCACAGATGACCCTAGAAAAATGACAACATTTTTTATGTTAAAAAAAACTTACTGAAAAACTGCATGTTCACCAGTTAAATTCTCTGTCCTATCTTTTGAGCTTCTGCCATCTAAAGATCTAAGTCCTTTCAACAGTATTTTTGTCTTACATCCCAAGTTAGAAACGCGCTCTTTGAGAATACAGGATCTAAGGTTAGCATCTAACTCAATTTATCCAGCACACAAAAATGAATACATGAACATTTTTTAACTGACATCTTACTTACTTTCCATCTAGTCCTCGCACTGCATCTTCTGCATCTCTGGGATCTTCAAATTCCACAAAGGCAAATCCTGGAGGATTTCTTGCAATCCACACAGTTCTTAAAGGGCCATAGTAACTGAAAGCCCTTTCTAACTCTCCTTTGCCAGCACCAGTTCCCAGGTTACCGACATAAACCTTGGTCTCTGTTTAAAAACGCAGAAAGAATGCATGTTATGCAAAATCCAGCCCAAGTTTGAATGAATTCTTTATCTCAAAAAGGGCCATCCTTCAAGCCTGAGCAAAGCATGTTTAATGCTCTTTCAAAGATGGAATTTAGTCTTGAAAAGTGGGGCTTCTGACAAACTATTTAAGGCTGTTGGTGGCTCCCTGCAAAGCAGTTTCTGACTCACAGCGACCCCATGGAACAGAACCGAACCACCCCAAAGGTCTTTCTGGGCTGTAACCTTTACGGGAGCAGATCACCAGGTCTTGCTCCCGCGGAGCCGCTGGGTGGGTTTCAAAGGGCCAACCTGTTAGTGAGCAGGCGACGTTTAACAGTTCCGCCACCAGGGCTCCTTCTGAAGACTCTAGCAAGAAAAATACTTCCAAAACAAAAGATGTGTGGTGGGCCATCTCCGAGCGCGGGGCGGCCCGCACCCCGCCCGGCCCCGCTCCGCCCCCGGCAGCCCCGCGAGCGCGAGGGGTGGCCCGGGCTCCGATCCTCTGCCGCAGCCGCCCGGGGCCAGGCTCGCCCGCGCCTCCAGCTCCCCGCCCCGGACCCAGAAACTGGTCTCCCAATCACTAAAAGACAAAAAGAAACCAGGCGCCACACCAAACCATTTTTTTCTCTACTCCCGACTTCGGAACCCGGCCGGTCGTTGGACGAGAACGCGCCAACACGCGGCTGCCACACATCTGTTTCATCTCAAATTCAACACCATTTGCACGGCTGCGACTACATGTGTCCGCTAAAGTGGCGGGAAAGCGCCGAGGATATGCGCCACGCCGGTCGTCAATGTGCGCAAAATGGCAGCCACGGCCGAGGGCGGGGGCAGGGAGGAGGCGGCCCCTGGAAGGGCACCGGGAAAACGGGACTCCCAGACCCGACCTCGGGCGGCACAGGCCGCGGGAACAGGCTGGAATTAGGAAGCCGCGACCACACATACGCCCGCCTGCTTCTCTGGTCCCTCCATCCCCGCCCCCCCCGGCTGCCTCTGGCTTCGCAAGGCGTGCACCGAAGCCGCCATTACGCACGCGGAATAATCGTCTCCCAACCACCGCGCTAACCCTACGGCCTCGTAATACTCATCCCACCCACAACACTGTCCCTCGCGGGGCCCCAGGATCTTACCTCCTCCGTATCGTCCGTAGCGCGACATGATGACTGGCCAGACTGCTCAGCTCTGAGCTCGCAGTGGCACAGTCACGAATGACACGAGCGGAGCCAACGACGTTAAAGAACCAACGGTCCTAACTGCACTACGAGGAAGAGGCTGGGTCAGATTTATATAGACGGCGGTTGGCCTTCACGCATGCGTCATCATGACGTTATGCGCGGCACAAAGGAGCTGAGCGGAAACAGCAGAGAAGCGCGGAGGGAAGCAAAGTGACTAATCACAGCGGAGGGATTATGTTTCCATGGGAACCCAGCCATCGCGCCCGTTAACAGCCCGCATTCCCTGTGGGCCCCGCCCCTTCCCCGGGCCCGCCCCTTCCCCAACCTCTTTTTGTAACACCCTCCCGCTTTTTCACCCGGTCTCCTTCCCTTCCTTCTTCCCCTCTTTTTCCAAGGACCTTCTTCCTAGGAGGTGTATTTACTGCATAGCTATTGGAAGTCTGTCAATTCTTATCGCTTATGTTGCAGCCTTTGTTCTGCTGGGTGACCTGGCCTAGTCAGCTATTCGGTAATCTTTTGGGGTTCGTCAGAGGGTTTCTGAAGTTTTGGCCCAGGTCCACAAACCTGGTCTTTTCGCGTGGTGATTTCCATAATACAGACCTCTAAAAGAATTCTTTATTCCGCCCCCCCCCCCCCGAGTCTCACGGTAATACTGCGAGCTTCCGACTGACCCTCCAGCCCCTGCCGAACCATCACCGATTCGTCAACAACTGTATCCACATTTTCAGAGTTTGGGGAACAAAAGAATAGAGTCGTTGCCCCCGTACCCCCACCCTGATTATATTGAAATTGTGGCGAAACTAAAAAATCCTTAAAGCATTTTGGCCAGTGGTAATTTTGAAATTATTTTCATCCTAACCACAAAATAATCTGTACTTTAGTGCTTTCGGTTGAGATCCCTGAGGATTGAGACTATCTTAGACATCTTTGAATCCACGAAGTGAAGATACCCGCTTTACCGCTTAGCCACACAATATATATAAAACTTTTCATTAACTCAAACCAAGCCTTCCATTGGAATTCTGAGGCTGTAAATTGTAACAGAACAATTTCCAACTTTGTCCCATTGAGAGGCTGGTGGACCCAAACTGTTTATCTTTCCAGTTAGCAGCCTTACATGTAAAATTCCACTTTTAATTTTATACAATATATCTACCAGACGTTAATTCTACCAATAGGGACCCCTGGGTTAAGTGTTGAGGAATTGTGCTGACAGCAGGAGAAAGATAATCTCCTCCCATGCGATTAACAGCCTCTTAAAACCCACCCGAGGCTAAAACCCACCGAGGCTCTAACTAGATCGTACACAAAAACAACTCTCCAGACACATAATTCTTTTTACTTAGCGCAGAGTACCTTATTGACATAAATACTTGGAATGCTCAAAAGTTAGAAATAAAAGAGAAAATCCTTGGGTATTTGGACTTTGATCTTTTTTATCTGCTGTAATTTCACCTGATATACATGCAGGTGTGGGATGCAAAGAACAAAAGGAAGGTTTGGGTGAGTAAAGGATGGATAGTCTTCAGGTAATGTTACAAATTTATAGCATATTGAAACTGAGGAGGACCTCATGCACTTGCTGCAGAGGTTCAAGGACTGCAGCCTTCAGTATGGACTGAGGCTCAATGTCAAGAAGACAAAGATTCTCACCACTGGACCAATTGGCAGCGTGAGGATGCATGGCGAAGAGACTGAGATTGTTCACAGCTTCAGTTTGCTCGGCTCCACAGTCAACATTCTTGGCACCAGCAGCCAGGAAATAAAAAAACGTATTGTGATGGGAAAGTCTGCTGTTAGGGACCTCTCTAAAGTACTCAAGAACAACGGTGTCTCTCTGGAGACTAAGGTGCACCTGATACAGGCCATGGTCTTTGCAATCACTTGCTATGCATCAGAGAGTTGGACAATGAATGATTAGGGAGGACAGAAGGAGAATTGATGCCTTTGAGCTGTGGTGCTGGAGAAGAGTATTGAATGTACCATGGACTGCCAAGAAAGCAGATTCATTCTTGAGAGGGTTAAACTAAGCTACTCCTTGGAGGCAAGGATTCTGGGACTTCGTCTGACATACTTTGGACATGTCGTAAGCAGAGACAGGTCCTTGGAGAGGGACTTCATGCTTGGTAGGGTGGAGGGACAGCACAGGAGGGGCATACCCTCTATGAGGTGGATTGATTCAGTGACTGGGATAGTCGGGATGGGTGTGTCAGAGGCAGTGGGATTAGCACAGGATAGAGCAGGGTTTAGGGCTGTTGTACATAGGGTCGCTATGAGTCGCAAACAAGTCGACAGCACGTAACAACAATCTTCACATTTAAGTTATCAAAAAGAATCAGCAATTAAAAGTTTCTAGTAGAACAGCAGTTTTCTACAGTATATTTGTTTATAGTTTAATCGATTTTTGTTTTCATCTACTTATATTAGATTGTTGTTAAGTGCCATCGAGTCACTTGCAACTCATAGTGACCCTATGTACAAGAGCACTAAACGCCGTTCTATCCTGTGCCAACCTCGCCGTCTCAGACACACTCATTCTCACCACTCCACTCATGGAATCTATCCATCTCATCGAAGGTCCTCCTCTCATGTGCCATCCCTCCCTTCTCCCAAACATGATGTCCCTCTCCAAGGACCAGTCCCTCCTTGCAACATGCCCAAAGTATGTCAGACGAAGCTTTAGAATCCTTGACTCCAAGGAGCATTCCAGCTTCACCCTCTCCAGGACAAACCTGTTTGTTCTCCTAGCAGTCCATGGTATAGTCAACACTCTTCTCCAGCACCACAGCTCAAAGGCATCAATTCTCTTTCTATCATCCCTAGTCACTGTCCAACTCTCCAATGCATAGCACATAATTGCGAAGACTATAGTCTGGATCAGGTGCACCTTAGTCTCCAACTTGATGTCGTTGCTCTTCAGTACTCTTGAGAGGTCCCTCACAGCTGACTTTCCCAATGCAATTCGTCTCTTGATTTCCTGGCTGCTATTACCAAGAGTGTGCATTCCATTCTTAAGGATCTTTCCATTTACTTCCTGAAAGATAGACTGTTGATTCTATACAGCTTCAGAATTTGATTTTGTTATATTAATTTTTTTTTAAGTTTCCGTTGGATTAAGCATATGATAACCTTTTGGAAGATAGCAGGTATTATACTACAATATGTATCGCTTTTGCCATGTATTATACACAGAGTACAATATATACCCACTCTGGAAACTGGTGGGAGAACTGGTCTACTAAACCCAAAGGTGGCACTTCTCAGGAAATTTGAATCCACCAGTGACTCGGTGGGAGAAGGATGGGCAATCTCCTCCTGTGCAATTTGTAGCCTCTGAAAACCTGCTAGATGGTCAGCTACCCCACAGCAATGAGAGAAGAGATACTACATAGTTCCTAATGAAGCTCAGTAAGCATTTTTTTACTCTGAATTACTAAGCAAATATCAGAGTAAACAATGTAAGAAACAGTGTTCCAACTTATAACAGCTTTTACACACATTAAAGAAAATGTAAATGCTGACAAATACACTTTTTTTTAGTAGATTCTTTGATAAGCTAATTGTATTTTATTCACAGCTGGACTCTGCTAACCCAGGTACCATAAAGGGAGGGGGGAGGGAAGATAGTTCTATGTAGTATTTCTATACACTGGTCTAAGGAACACTTTTTCTCTCAAACTACAAACCTAAGGCTTTAAGAATAAGCAACCAAGCTTTTTCACTAAATGTCAATACAAATTAGACCTCATTTAACAGTGTTTTTATTCCCGCTCTTTGTCTTTGAAATAAGTTTTATTCACACACTTTTGCCTCTAAGATTCTGTATTAAATATAAATCACATTTCCATGTTCAACTTGAATATAAAAACTATTCAATAAATAGTCCCAGATTTCTTTGGAATATACTAATTCTCAAAATGTTGCTGTTGTTAGATATTGACAATTTTATGCCTTTAAGAAATGGGAGTAAGTCTTAATTATTTTACATCCATTTGTCAAGCTTATCCATATTGCCAGAGAAGAACTTAAAGAAAAAGTTCACTTTTTAATCTTACTTCTTTGTGCATTTTAGTTTCATTTTCAAGTAATTGTCATCATTTAGTTTATATGTGGAATTTAAGAGTAGAAAAATATTTTATACTTTTGTTTTTAATATCAAGAAATAGTATATAACAACAAATACGTATTTTTAATGTGTTCATGTGTAACTGTGTGTATATATATACCTATACATATAAACAGCATATGTGTGTGTATATATATAATAGTGTATGCATATATAGAAAACCGTGCACACACAAATACATACATACATACATACATACATACATACATACATACATACCATTGCTGTTGTTCAGTGCTATTGTCAGAACTGACCTATATCTAACCCTCCAGAGGATTTTCAGAGGTTATAAAAATAGCACAGGAGGAAATTGTGCTCTTTCTCCTGCAGAGCACCTGGAGGATTCAAACCACCTATCTTTGAAATGACAGTGCAGTTCCTTACCACTAAACTACCAGAACTCCGTAAATATATACACACACATATAATTGTTGTTGTCATTGTGTACCATTGAGTCGGAACCTACCTATAACTGACCCTC